TCTGAATTTTATGAAGATGAGACTTGGCTCTACTAAGAAAATCTCAAAGATGAAGAGTAGATTCAGCAACCCTTTGGGGTGGGTCCTAGACCACACTGCACTTAAAAGGGTATTCACTCCAGTGTCTCTTTCCTTCCAGCTCTCCCATCCCAGCCTTCAACCTCTGGGCTCACTGAGGATACTTTCCCATGACATCTGCCTTCTAGAAACATGCTTTGGAGCAGTAGCAGGGCTGGGGATTTAGCTCAGTGGCATAGGTGCCTGCCTGGCAAGCATAAGGTTGTGAGTTCAATCCCTGGTCAAAAAAACAAACAAACAAAACACCTAGATAGTGGCTATTGATCTCCTGTTGTCTTGATTTGAAGTGTGTGTCACTTACATTGTTTTCTTCTGATCTGCTTTGTTCTGTTTTGTTATGCTTTGTTGTACCCTCTTTAATATAAAAAAGATAGTGGCTTAATATAACTCCTCTGTGAAACGGGAAATAATCTATTAACCTTATAAACCTGTAAGCATTGGCCACCTCTACAGAACCAGGCTCTGCTGTGGGTAGGCTTCAGAAACCATGTCTGTGCTTGTTGATCAATCAAGGCAGCAGTTCTGCCTATACTCACAGCCCTAGGGCTGTGAAGGCCATGTGTGCAGGTAAGCGGAAGCCGAGTCAGTCTGAAGGCATCTTTCTGCTCTTGCTATCAAAGCAGAGATCACATGCTAAGGGAGAAGCAAACAAGAAGGCCCAGGAAACAAAGCAAAGAGATACAGAATAAAAAGAGGTGACACCAAACCAGGGCCACAGTCTCTGTAAGGCTTGGCCACAGGATGAGCCAGGATGGACTCAGGGGACAATGAATATAGCCTGCCACTGCCTATGGCACTTTCAGAGGGAGATCCAGGACCAGCATAGGCCACAACATGCCAGCCCCTGCAACGGACCTGGAGAGATCCTGTAGCAGAAGCCTACCCCATTGCTGAGCTCCCAGATTTATAGTCCAGTAGGAGAAACCAATACAAAGCACAAGAATTATCATAAATAATACACAAATATATTAAGTTCTAAGGCAAAAAATAATGTTAGACATCATATTTCAGCTGAAACTTGAAAGGTAAGACAACAGTTACTATGCAAAATCCAAGAAGGTTCTATTGAATATGTGTAGGTAAAATGTGTATTATCCATTCAGCTTCAAAAAGGAATAAAGTTGATACATGCTACAACATGGATGAATCTTGGAAATATGCTAAGTGAAAGGAGACTTTATAACAGGCAAATACTGATATCTGAAGCATTTATCTACACATATATCACGTATCTGTATATATGAAGTATCCAGAATGATGATGTGGATGAAAATGCTCTGGAAATAGACAATGATCACAGTTGCACAACACTGGGAATGTACTTTGTGCCACCAAATTGTGCACTTCTAAGTGGTTAAAATAATGAAGTTTAGGTAGATTTTAACACAATTTTGTTCTAATTTTTAAGCGGGGCACAGTAGAACATGCCTGTAATACCAGCTACTTGGAGATCGGAAGCAAGACCAACGCCATCAACTCTGCAATTCTATTCTAAAACAAAACAAAAAAGGCTGGGGAGCCAGGCATGGTGGCACACGTCTGTAATCTCAGCTGGAAGGCTGAGGACGGAGGATGGCCCCGAGTTTGAGCTACACAGTAAGATCAAGACTGGCGTGGACTACGTAGCTACACAGCCTCCAACCTGAACTCTGCATTTGTCATTAACAATAACACAGTTAAAGTGATTCCCACCCCTTGTACCTGGTTTGGCTGAAATCCAAAATTTTAAACTCTTTATATTACCACTTTTGACTTGCTTCTTTTCTAAAAATTAAAGAAAAGATAATAAATAAAAAATGAAAAATAAGAAATTCAAGTTAGAGATTTTATCTTTCCCAGAGTTAATGGGAATGTGACTGAAGCATTTCAGTGCATTCCTACCTAAATGCCAGGAGGAGCCCCAGGGGACCCTGGCCTTGGAAGCTTTCAGGCCTCACCTCCAGCTCCCATGTCTGAGGCCTGGGAAGAAGAGGGCCCAATGGCAGGCACCCCACCAAGACAGCAGAGTGTCTAGGGCACAGTGACCAGTGAAGGTAAACAGCAAGACCCACCAACTGTACTTTCGCTGATGGGAAAAGCCCAACATAGAACCCAAAAGTGGTCTGTAACTCAGCTGCCCCTTCCCAAGCACCTGCTCCTGGCAACAGTCAACCGCCATTTGCTAGTGTTTTCAGTGGAATTCCCAGTTCCTGCGGCTTCATGATACTGAGCTCAAAATACTGCCGCCTGCTGGCACATGGCCTACCTGCTAGAGCCCAAAAAAGGCTGAAGGGTACATAAGAAGTGGTGTGCATGTTCCAAGCAGAGCAGCGAAGGCAAAGAGAAGCTGAGGCGAGGCGGTGTGGCAACTCGGGGAGGAGGAGGAGGTGGTGTCAGATGCAGGGGGGCAGTCATCAGAGTAGGGAAAGAGAGGCGCTTTCTACCAGGAATGTAACAAGCACTCTCCCCTAAATTAACTTTGTGCAATCTTAACCCAGATAGCTACTAATTTTCAAAGTAATAAACTATTTTGATATAGAATTCCCCATAGAAATCCTTACGACTTCTGGACATGCAATATGATATATTTTACTTAAATTCACAGGAATTGTACATATTGAGGTAGATAGAGTAATATTTGACACACGTATACTATACAGTGTAGAGATCAAATCAGGGTAATTAGCATTTGTATCCATAAGGGTTCTTTGTGTTGGAAACCTACAAATTCCTCTCTTCTAGTTCTTTATAAAAGACACTGTTGTCAACTACAGCCACCCTGTTGTGCTATGCAGACTAGAACTTCTCCCTTGTCTAACTACATTTTGGTAGCTGCTATCTGACCTGCTTCTGTCCCCTCGCCCTCTCACACTTCCTATCCTCTGGTGATCACTATTCTACTTTCAACTTCTATGAAACTGACTTCTTTGTATTCCACTTATAAGTGAGAACACAGCATTTGTCTTTCTGTGTCTGGCTTGTTTCACTAAACATATTGCCCTCCAATCGATCCCTGTCATTTCAAATGACAGAATTTCATTCTTCTTACAGCTGAAGACTTGCCTCCGTAAATCTCTATCTATTCCTTTATCCATTCACCTGTTGATAAGTTGACTGGGAACTTGGTTATTCCCAGTCTTGCCTACTGTAAACAGCATCACAATAAACAGGGAAGCACAGGTATCACTTTGATATGCTGATTGCTTCCTTTGCCCATAATCCAATTAGAGGGACAGGTGAAGCTTACATACTTTTACCTTTGGTTTTTGAGGATTCTTCTTACTGTTTTCACTAATGGTTACACGCTAATTTACATTTCCATGAGGCGCTATCTTCCTCATCCTCGCTGGTAATTGCTATTTTCTGTTTTCCTGTTAATAGTCGTTCTAACAGGATAACATAGTGTCTGACTATGGTTTGATTCACATTTCCTGATAGTTAGTGATGCTGAATATTTTTCATATACTTGTTGGCCATCTGTATATATTCTTTTGAGATCAAAGAAAGATCTATTCAGATCATTTGCCCATTCTTTAATCAATTCTTTCTATTGATTTGAATTCCTTATATTCCTGGATATTAATCATTTGTCAAATGAATATTTTGCTAATATTTTCTCCCATTTTGTAGGCTACCTCTTCACTCCACTGATTGGTTCTTTCATTATATGTTCATTTTAATCCAAGTTTCTGCATTATAATCAATCTACTGAAAGATAAACTCAATTAAAATGTACCTTTATAATTTTCTTATCTTTTCTTTTTTTGTTTTCTGGGGGTTTTTTGGGTTGTTCGTTTGTTTGTTTGAAACAGGGCCTTGCTATGCAGTACAGGCTGGCCTTGAACTCACTTATGTAGCCCAGGCTAGTCTCAAACTTGTGGTGACCCTCCTGCCTCAGTTTCTTGAGTGCTAGGATTACAGGCATGTGCCATCCCACCCAGAAGTACCTTTGTAATTTCTCAATCCTAAGAATAATGAAATGTGTTTAAAACCCATCAAAAGGATTAACTTAGTCATGCACATCATAAAGTTATGTAATAAACCCAATAAAAAATTTTTATTTTTTCCAAAATGAAAAACTCTTTATTACTTTATCTATGAAAAAACAAATCCCACTCATACAGAAGGGGTATATAATTTAAAAATCATCCAGAATCCTCCTCAATGGAAATTATTACCATGAACATTTTGCCAAATAGTCTTTTAAACTTTTTCCTAAGTATCTCTACATAGAAACTTTTTCAAAATGGAGACTATTTTTCATAGAGTTTGTAACTTAAACCATTAACATATGTATGTGAGTAAATAATATTTTCTAACACAATTTTTGCTGGTTATAAAACAATTTGTTTCATGAATATGCTACGATTTATTAAACCAATGTATTGATACATATCTGAGATTATTTCCAATAATCTCATTACTATAAATAGTTATAAACAAATATAATAAGAAAAATAAAAGTGCTAGTGCTTTACACTTTATTTTACAAATAAATCTGAAAATCCAGCTAAAAGACATGAGTCAGTTAAATATACAGTGCTTAGAATACACTTAGTATATAGTGCTCTACGAGTGCACAAAATCAAAAGGCAAAATCACGAATGTTGAAACACCAAAGCTATTTACATGAAAGTCAGGAATAAGATAGGAACACTCAAAGTCAATACTACTTAAATTTTCATTGTGAAAACACTAGCCAAGCAACCCATCAAGAGAGAACCTAACTAGATTATAGAAAAATACAGAACAGTAAAAGATAGAATTATCATTATTTGCACATGACAAGATACTGTTCCTGAAAATACCAACGGAACCCCCTGAGAACCTAGCGATTTACTGGATTTATTTAATTTACCTACTCTCTCAAAGTGAAATACAGATAAATGTGAAAACAGTGTCAAGGTGGCATAACTGGGAGCCTGAGACTTTGGAAAACTCACCTTGGCAATATAACCCAGGAGGTGCCCAGGTGCCCAGCGGGGTGCAACTCGACACAGTATCTTCTGGGACCCTGAAAAATCCTTCTTTGCAACTATAGCGGACCTGGCTGCCGAGCCTCGAGCTGTAATTTCCTACGATATAGCCGCCCGGGACCTCTGGAGGGGGGCCGCAGTCTATTTCTGAAAACCAGTATGTGTCAAATGTATTAGTATGTGAACATAAATTTCCAAAACTCACATCTTTCTACACCTCCCCTCTCCTCACATCCATATCCAGGGCCTATTCTAAGTACTCTCATTCATTTCCACCTGATTTCTAAGCATATTTCCAATGGTGGTTTTATTCATTCCTTTTATCTTCCACAGAAAATAGCATCTACATATGAACAAAACTGAAAAAACTTAGCAACTGACACTCACTAATTTATACTAACTAAAGAAACCCCCTCTCAATAAAGTAAAAATTTTAAATTGCAAAATACATTAAGATCCATGAACATTTATAATTTTCAGGGTCAGTTTTATAACGCTGTGGCTTTCCTACAGAACTTGTGTTTACCATCTAACAGAATGGTTAATATCAAAATATCTATTAAGCCACGTATGGTAGTGCATGACTGTAATTCTATTAGTCAGGAGGCTGAGGCAGGAGGATCACAAAAAGTTTGAAGCCAGTCTAGGCTACATAATGAATTCAAGGTCAGCCTGAATTACATAGCAAGACCCTATCTCAAAAAAAAAAAAAAAAAAATACACACACACACATTAACCTTTTAGGGATGGTGCTGTCCAACTTGGGTAACTTAGCACTTTAGCAAGACCTCATCTGAAAAATTAAAAATTATTTTTAAAAATGGGCTGAGGATGTAGGTCACAATGAAGGTCTTGGATTCAATCACCAATAAGGAAAAAAAAAGTTTAAGAGCTAAAATACTTAGTATTTAGTAATTTCAGTTTCTCTTGCATAGCCCTTCCAATCCTGATTAGGTTGTACAGATATGCAAAAGAATCTATCCCCACAGAGACCTAAAAACACCAGAGCACAAGAAAGTGACACCGCGGGATTCCCTGTGGGAAGAGGCTCAGTCACTGTCACTCACCTGTGCACACCGTGGCATCTCTGCTCGGGTGGAAAGGCTCAGGCCCACCCCTGGGCAAATAGCCATCCATGCAGTAGCACTCGAAGCTCCCATGAGTGTTGACACACCGACCTCCAGGCCTGCACAGTCCAGAAACTTCACACTCATCTACGTCTTCAGACCCGCCCCAAATACAGGGCAAGGAGGAAAAAACAGAAAGAAAAAGAAAGAAGGGACATCATGACAGCCATCTTTCTCATATCATTTGCCAACTTTTATCAATGACCATTTGTTTGCAACTGTATCATGCATTTTATTTTACTCCCTGAAGTTTCATCTCATATAGCCTTCACTCAATAGGCAGAGAAAACACAGGAGGTGCTCAATAAACACACCCTGGACTACACAGCAAGACCCCGCACTTCATGGTGAGACCCTGTTTCGAAAAAAAAAAATGGAGCTCAAAATACAAAACAATTTATACTAGCATGAAACATGCCAGCAATTGACAAGTGAATATCCAGCTCATGAGCATGCGATAGTATGTCAAGTCGTGAGGGAGAAGTGAAAGGGTTTAGTAACATTACCAAGATTAGAAGGCATAAAACAGGCTTCGGGAAGGACAAGGCACACTACTTGAGACTTTTCCCCTTGCTACAGACTGCCACAGATGGTATACATACAGCCAAAAACTGTATAATAGGTCAGACACTGAAGAAGAAATCTCTCTGCAGGGAGCTCATGTATTCCCAGAACTGCTTTGCGAAGCTGAAGAAACCCATCAGAACCACACACATTGGTTTCATTGAGAGAAAAAAAGCCCTGCTAAAAATGGCACTTAGCCAGGTGTGGTGACGCACACCTGTAATGCCAGCACTCAGGAGGCTGAGGCAGGAGGATCGTTGCAATTTGAAGATCAGCCAGGGCTACAAAGTGAGCTCAAGGCGAGCCTGAACTACATAGTGAGACTCTATCTGAAAAAGACACAAATAAATAAACAAGGCACTCTTCTTAGATATCCCCGAGGACCATGGGAGGGCAGGAGGAGAAGGTTGTTCCTTAGTTGCTCCTGGACTGGGATTTCAAAGCAATTTTAAGGAGGACTAACATAAAATGGCCAACATTCTCTTTTCCCACCCCCCAGTACTGGGGATTGGCGTAAAATCTTTGCACTGGGCTACATTCCAAACACTTTTTTTATTTTTTTTTTTTTTATTTATTTTTTTGAGACAAGGTCTTGCTAAACTGCTAACATGCCCAGATTGGAAACTTCAGATCCTCCTGCCTCAGCCTTCCAGAGTGGTGGAATGACAGGCATGTGCCACCACATCCAGCAACACACCCAATATTCTATTTTGCCAGAAAAGATCTTTTTTTTAAAATGTCAAATAAACTATTAACATTGTAATTTCATAAAAGAAAGGACCTTTTAGTGCCCAAAATAAGAAAGAAAATAGAAAACCTCAGAGTGCTTTTTAAATTTGTTTAGTGTGGTCTTATGAAAGTTCACAATCTGAGTCGGCGCCATCATGGACTGCAGAGGAAAACAAGAAGTCAACAAAAAGCTAAGGCCTCCTTTGAGTCTGCACCATGCGCGGGCTGACAGGGAGAACCAGATACCAGCCCCTTCAGGTGCACGGGCAGGGAGACAAGAAGAGCCGACGTCCCTCCCTGCCCCCCTCACCCATAAGCACCTCCCTGCCCACCCTCACCCATGGCTGATCTCGAGAAACACAGGCTGTGATGCCAGCTAATGAGGTAAAATACAACTTAATGTTTGCAGTGTTTAGTGTTTCACTGACTTTGCAGGCCTAAAGCTGGTTATCTGACCATCTATTCAGAGGATAACAATACGCAATGTAGCATACATAGGAATCTTCTTCTGAAAGGGGTGGCCATTGCTGATTCCTAATTATCTTGTTTTGAAATCCTGTATCATTCTCATTGTTTTGCTTGGTTGGGTTTTTATTCTGTTTTATCTTGCTTGATTTCATTGTCTCTGATGGCATGGGCAGCTATTTTGAGGATAACAAGATATATTATGATAGCGATATTGGATTTACTATTATCTTGTTTTGAAGTCCTGTACTGCATTCATTGTTTTGTTTTTATTGGTTCTATTCTGTCTCTGTTTTGTTTGGTTTTACTGTGTCTGAAGGTCTGCTTAGCTATTTTGAAGACAAGAGGCACTGTGGTGACCATTGTTGATTTCCTATTATCTTATTTTGAAATCCTGTGTCACTTACACTATCTTGTTTTGATTAGCTTTATTGTTTTATTTTGCTTGGTTTTCTTCTAAACTAAAATTTTTTTAATAAATTCACAATCATCTCCTTTTTCTTTTGGACTTGGACCAAAGAACACCTAGCAAGTCACAACGGTTGACACTATTTGGGAATTAGCAGTTCACTCTGTTGCTAGCAGGGCCCACACAAGCCAACAGTTGTGAATAGGCCACACCTTCAGTCCAGTATTGTGACCAATGCTTTGTGGGCAATCCACTGCACACTATTTCTCAAGAGAGGAACCTGGTTTGATCCTTAGCATCCAAAAGAAACAAAAAAGGAAGTGGAATCCACTCCCCTTCCCCTGCCCACTGCCCTTAGGCTTGTCTTGACTAGTTTGGTCAATAGAACACAGCAGAAGTTGGGCTTCACCTGAAAGGAGGCTGGTAACTTCCTTCATCCTGTTGAAATTTAGTGGCCATGCTGTTGAGAGGTCTAGGGTACTGTGCCTGGGAGAAAGGTCACTCAGGGGAACCCTAAAGATGAGACACCATATGCAGAGAGAGCCATATGGTTGAGAACAAAAGCATCCTGGGCTCTTGTTGATGTCAAGACATGAGACTTGGGAGACAAGTCCTCATCTCTGAGGGCCCTGCCACCAGCCAAGTGTGTCCACATAAGTGACCCAGTCTAAGCAGATGGAGCACAGCCACCCAACCAGCCCAGTCATAGGATGGTGGGAAGCGATAAATCATTGTTTTTAGCCACTGTATTTAGGGGAGACTATTACAGAAGTATGCAGCATAAATAATCCAAGACACCACTGATATACACAGAGATGTACAAGTCCAAATACGTGAGATTAAGAGGCAAACACATTAGTTTTTTTAAAAAAGACTGCAAAAACAATGAAATCAACCAAGTGTGGTGGCACACACCTCTAATTCCAGTACTTAGGAAGTTGGGGCAGAAGGCTCAACATAAATTCAAGGCCGGGGGCTGGGGATTTAGCTCAGTGGCATAAGCGCCTGCCTTGCAAGCAGGCAGTCATGAGTTCAATCCCTGGTACCGATAAAAGGAAAAAGACCAAAAAATAAATAAATAAATAAATAAATAAATAAATTCAAGGCCAGCCTAGTCTACATAGAAAGTTCAAGGCCATTCTAAACTACAGGGTGAGACCCATCTCAAAAAACACAAACGAGCAAACTGAATTTATAAAAAATGATGCGAGGTAGAAATAATGGGGCAACTGCAAGTAAGCAGTCGTGAGTTCGATCCCTGGTACTGATTTAAAAAAACAAAAGAAAGAAAGAATGGGGCAAAAACAAGATGTTATGAAAATGGATCCAAAATATTGGATATCCACTTAAGAGGAACAGCAGAAGAGAAGGGAATGTACTTACACAAATTAGTCTCAAAGTGGAGAAAAATACCCCTCAGTTCATACATCCAAATCCAAACAGTCTGCAGGTGACAGGCATGAATGCTATAAGAAAGCCATTCTCTTGAGGACGACACCACGCAGCTCTGGCTGCAAAATGAAGCTTCAACTTAAGTAGCAGGAGCACTGACCCTGCTTTCTCCTGCTGCCTCTCTCTGGAGCTGCCTCACTTACCTCCAGGCACCAGGGTCCCTTAGGCCCACCCCTAATTCTTTCTGTCCCAAGTATGAGGTCCTACCCATTCTCCCCACCCTACGTAGACAGGGCAGAGATGTAGTTGCTACGGCAGTCTGTGCAGAAATGTCTGAGCCGCTTAACAACTTCAGTCTAACACAAAGATGACATACTGCACTATCTCATTTAGAAATCTCCAGAATAGACAGATCCGGGGCTGGGGATTTAGCTCAGCGGCATAAGCGCCTGCCTTTCAACCAGGCAGTCGTGAGTTCGATCCCTGGTACCGATAAAAAGGAAAAAGACAAAAAAAAAAAAAATCAGAATAGACAGATCCACAGGGACAGGAAGTGGATTCCTCACTGCCTGTGTCAATGGGAGAAGGGGGGGCTGGTGGAGATGATAGGTATCTGCTTTCTTCAGGGGAGATGAAAACGCTCTAAGTTCGAAGGTGACATTTGTGGAATTCTGTGAAGTGTATGCTATAAATGGGTACATTTTACAGGTCTGACATCTCAGGGAAGGTGTTATTTTGGGGAAGGGGGGTACCAGGGAACGAACTAATGACCATGAGCTTGCAAGACATGCGTTTATCCCTGTATTGCTCTCACCATCTTGTTTTGGCTGATTTTCCTCTATTCTGTTTCACTTGATAGTACCAAGTTCGAAAGTATAGGCAACAACTGTGAAGACAATAAGATTCATTATGATGCCCATTCTGGTTGACTATTATCTTCTTTTAAAGTCCTGTAATGTCTCCAATGTTTTCATTTTATTCTTTACTGTTTTGTTCAATTTTATTATAACTGATGATATAGGCAATTCTTTTTAAGATAGCAAGAGGCAGTATGGTAACCAATGTTGATCACCTTGTATTTTGTTTTTACATTATGTATTATGTCCATCCTTTTGATTTGACTGACCCTGTTCTGTTATGTCATATTTGGTATTACTCTCTTCAAAACAAAGTAGTAAGAACTGGGGGAGTAATAAAACCCAAAATGTATAATTGTCATTGTACAAAAGAGAGGAAAAGAAAGTGCTCTAAAGGACATAAGTGCATGTATATTTAAGTGTATAAGATAGATAACCATATTACTGAGTTTTGTTGGATCACTGAACAGAACTGTTTGCAGTCTCACTGTTTGAATGTGTACTTTATATGCTTTAATTTTCTAACTTGAACAACTATTTCTAAGATGACAATATGTAATCTATTAACTAGTGATTTCCCACTATTTATTTTTTCTGAAATTCTGTATAACTTGTACTCTTTTTCTGTTTTGTTTTGTTCTGTTTTTTCTTTTTCTCCTTAAATAAAATTTAAAAAA